TACGTTGGTAATTGTGTCTAAAGGAAAGCAAAAATGAAAAATAAAAGGATTAATAAAAACAAAAGCTCGAATTTTGATGGGTCAAGTATAAAAAGACTAGAGAGAAAGAAGAAAACAGAATCATATTATTAGTACGTTTATGATAAGATTAAAAATAAATTAAAAAAATGTTACGTTTTATAAAGATTTGAGTTTTCCTAAGTAACCATTTCTGTCTTCGGTCTGAAGGTACTTCGTACATCCAATAATGTTCGAATGTATCACTCAAGCCACCATCTCGGACAACCTTCGTAACCAAGCAAGAGATGATGGTCTCTCTCTCTCTCTCTATACGTGTGTGTGATGATTAAGACAATATGTTTGAATATAGTTTTAAAATGATTTACAAATATTATTTATATATTTATTTTTATTTTGATCGAATATCTTAGATGTTTTATATATTATTAAATTATATTAACTCGATATAGAAAAAAATAACTAACATAACATTTTATAATATTTCAATATAGATTCGAGTCTCGAGTTAAAGAAAAATATTCATTTGGATTTTTTTGGTTTTTTAGAAGATTTAATTGGATTAAAGGTTCACTAAAAAAATATTTGACAATAAAAGCAAAAGAGCATCAAACAAAAATATACCTGATTGTAATTTTGAGAGCAAATATTATGGATAAACATCTCTGTTTAATTCAGTTATTTTTAAAATTTCTAATGTTTTTAAAATAATAATTATTAAATTTTTATACTAGATTTATGTTTAATGTTATATATTTTTAGATTCATATTTAATTTTCATTCAAACATATTTATTTTTAAAAATAATTTAATGTTGACTGCGAATTACATTAATTTATTTAAAAAAAATATATGTATCAATAATTGCAACTATATATTATTTTGATATGAGTATATATTTTTTAAATTATTTTAGACAGCACTAATTTCGGTACATTTAATTCATTTCTATATCATTCTAATCTAATGATATTCGGATAATCGCTCCTTATCCGTGCCACTTGTATCATCGATTACTCTCAATTCTTTCATAACTCGGAATATCACAACATTTACGATTAATTCAGTTATTTTATATTTCAAATGATTTTGAAATAATAACTATGAAATTTTTATACTGGATTTATGTCAAGTCTATATATTTTTTTAGATTTTGACTCATATTTAATTTCATTAAAACATATTATTTTTTAAAAATATTTTAATGTTCACTGCGAATTATATTAATTATTTTATAAAAAATATATCTAAACCTCAGTTGCAACTACATATTATTTTGATTTTATAATTTTTTTTATACTGATAATGAATGCTCGTTCATTGTTTCGTTCTATTGGAAAATTTAATTCATTTATTTATTTTATATTGTTCCTTTGTAATATTTGGTGACCGACTCGGACGGTAGTCGGTAGTCTCCACCCGTGCGGCAACTTTTTCGCATCTCTATTTTCAACGGTTTTAATATGTCTACGTGTCCTCGTCCCAGCGAATCTTTTGCTTCCTTTCCAACTTTACATTTTTGCCCCGAATTATGATTTTTAATTACGTATTAATAGAATATATTGAAATTAATTGGCAGGAAAAAAAATTATTGGATGATAAATGAGATAATGGATTCTAGTGTATTAGTTGATTGTTCTGTGCAGTGTTATTAAATTGAAAAAGCCCTATTAATGGGAAACCACATTCATATGCTTGCCATAAAAACATGCAAGCCACGGAATAAATTCAATTAATATTATAAATATAAATGATGAATAATGATACCATTTAAATCAGGATTCTATATAAAATTGTTCCTAAATAATACTTATTCGACCAACTTCAAAAACATGGTTCTAAAATTTATGTTTATCATGCTTTCAACATTTTTAGAATTATGCTTTTTTAACTATATATCTGTTTTTATTTGTAAATATTTTTTTGCTTAGGTATTTGTAAATTTTTTTTTTCTTTCTAATCTTTATTCTTTTTTTTTAAAATTTTTTTTTTGCCCGGTTAGATCTTTTCATTTTGGTCGAAATTGATTTATTGTTACTTCCATTCTTCTTCGAGTATCGATTATTTCATAAAATTTTATTCAATTTCATCGTATCATTTTAGGCTATATTTTTTTGGACCGAGTTATTACGTCGATGATCGATGTTTTCACGATTGTGTGCTCATTTGTTCTTTTCGAATTTGACTTGTATTAAAATATAAGTACTTGTTTTTTTGTTATTATTCATTAATATTTATGATTTAATAACATGATACAAAAAGAAAACTAACATATAACTTCACATTGATTTCTCTCAAATGAATGACACGATATGTATATTTTTAGAAATTTTACACTTCCAAATCGTTAATTAAATAAAAAACGTTACCTTCGTTTTGTAATAATAAACAAAATTATTAAATTATGACAATTAAAATAAAAACAGTTCAAACCGATGAGTTGTCAAGTGGTTTGGTTTTTCGAAAAACTTTACGAAGAGTTTAGTAGATGGAAATAATTAAAATTAATTACCAAAAAAATAATTAAAATTAACTAGTCATGTTTAATGACATTAATTAGTGGAGGCCTCCAACCAGCTTTCGATTCTCTGTCTCACTAGAGACAAAGTTTGAGATTAGTGATAGAGACTTTTTTCTAAACTCTTTTCTGCTAATATTGTTTCTTTTAATCATTCTTAATTATTCTCTTAATCCATTTTTTTAAAAATTAAGCGATTTAATAGAACTATAACCCTGATTTTAAGGACCATGCTCTCGTGTCCAAACGAAATTTTTTCTGTAATATAGACGTTGGACAGAGATTTTTCATAAGTCCAATCCATGACACATGTTACTTCAATTATTATATAGTTATTTTAAATGCTTTTTCATGTTTGGCGATATTTAATAGTCATTAGAAAATTCGGTAGTTGGAAAAATACTTATTGTTAGATTCTTATGAATTATAAATATATATTTAAATGGTTCATGTTCGAAGTGGCCGTGTCATGGACAGGACATTGAGGATAGCATGACATCACCCAATTCATCCTGTTTTTTTTTTTCTTTCTTGAAATATATTATTTTTGGTAAAAAGAAAATAGTTTCCGTATTCGGTACATATATAAATCATAATTCCGAGATAAATAATGATTAGCATAAGCGTTTTTGTTAAATAAAATTGTTAATTACATCTGAAATTCATCTTTAATTTTGTTTAGATTCGAATTGAGTTCATTTGATTTTCATTCAAAAAATATAATTTTATATAAAATTTTAAATTTAGATTTTTTTATTTTAATATTTATTTCAATTCAATCAGCTTGATTTAAGAAAAAATTATCCATCATTTTTAGCGGGTTCGGTTTAGTTAATTCAGTTTTATTGTTATCAGAAAATTTTATAATTAAATTAGGAAGGAATTAAATGGCCGAAATCGTTATTAAGTAAAGACAAAACTATTCAATGCAAATCCATGTGGGTAGTGGTCCAAAGTGATAATGTCAAGTGTGGTTAGAAAATTCAAATCCTTATAACGAAACTATATGGTTCATAATAATAATAATAATAATAATAATAATACAATTTAATTGTTATATATATAGTGCCCGAGTCGTGGAAACACATGGTGGAATGGACCGCCAGGCCTCGATAAGCCCAAACCAATATATAATATGCTTTAGGGTTTCCAACAAAAAAAATCTAAATGATTATAACCTCACAACGATGCATATTGGAATTTAATGGACGTTGTAATTCCTTTTTTTTTTAATTACTATTATACAATGGAAAGGATTATCAGTAATTAATGCAGCCGACGAATTTGACGAAGAATCAAATACGAAGCCGTTAATTTTTTTTTATGGTAATGTCTGCATTTTGTTTCAAGTTTTATAAGACCGACTTTAAATAAATCAAAAGTGAATGAGATATGACTATATATTGAATAGAATTCAACAGAAATTAAAATATTTGTTTTTAAATTTTAATGTTTTTTAAATAAAAACCTCTGTACCAATAATGTAATCTAAACTGAAATGAATGATGGACAATATTTTTATGACATATACAAATATCAAAGCCTGAAAATAGTAGAATAAAACCTAAAATATTCGTCGATATCCCCAAGTTATGATTTTTTTTTACATCTAACATGTTTGTCTGTCTGTTTTTTTATATATTTATTACGTATATTTTTAAAATATAATCGGAAGGGAAATGGTAAAAGAGAACATGTTTTTGCCATATTTGGGTCATTTTTTGTATTACTGATTCGATGGAATTAATATCTGTAAATATAATTTTTTACCCAAAAAAATGATAGATAAATATGCGACTGTGATGGAAAAATCATGTGGATTATATAAATTTATCTATTTTTGAAAAAAAAAAGAAAGAGAATAGGTTGCGCATCTTATCGACGATTGATGGATCATGGGCCCATCTAGAGCCCAATTCCTCCACAATCAGTATGACCTTTATCGGAAGAGAAATGGTAAAAGAGAACATGTTTTTGCCATATTTGGGTCATTTTTTGTATTACTGATTCGATGGAATTAATATCTGTAAATATAATTTTTTACCCAAAAAAATGATAGATAAATATGCGACTGTGATGGAAAAATCATGTGGATTATATAAATTTATCTATTTTTGAAAAAAAAAAGAAAGAGAATAGGTTGCGCATCTTATCGACGATTGATGGATCATGGGCCCATCTAGAGCCCAATTCCTCCACAATCAGTATGACCTTTATATATTTTTTTTAATCACTTAATAGTCAATTTAAAATATCCCAAAATTTTGCAATTCATCTTACTTTTATATACACACACACATATGTATATATATAACAAAACAAAATGTACTACAAATTCGAAATCGAATGTTCTGAGATTTCGGCCCATTTAGGCCCATAAAGGTGACATATTTGAATTTTGAGTTAATAACGGATCAATAAATCATATACAGAGAGAGAGAGAGAACAATAACCCGAAAAAAGAAAAGGGATCCATTGAAGATGTCGGAGGAGCTTGAAAGGCAAGGTTTTTAGCAAATGGAATGACAATGAACAAGGGATCAAGAATACAGCCACTGAAATTACACCTCCGTTGGACCCATAATCGTCGCCTGCCGATGAAACATGTCTTCGGCTGCAGGTCCTGCGCAGCATCTTGCAGACCAAACCAGATCCAATACAAGAGTCATTGTGGGAGGGGACGACAAGGAAAACAGAGCAAAGACAGATGACGGATCATCTATGTTCTGTCTAGAAAATGAAAACCACAGAAAGTGGTCCAACAAATCCACAGAGGACGAGATCGAAACCAGATTCCTACCGATCCATTCACTAATGAAACACACCCATATGGTACAAAAAATTTCAAGAATTCGAGAGATCAATACAGAAACGATACACAGCCGACAAAGGGAAATTACAGTTTCGATCAAAACATAAAAAAACCGGCGGTACCAGCACTGCACGAAGTAGGAGGATCCTTCTGTAAATCCTTCAGTTCCTTCAAGTCCAAAATCTACGATCAAACACAAATACATGGATCAATCAACCATTTCTGGTAAGTTTTGTTTATATTCGTCGGAACATTTGTGGGTTTTGGCCCTTTTCTTCGTATGAAGGCGAGAGAGACGACGACTGCGAAGTGCAGGAGAAAATGGTGGTGGCCGGCAACAAGGTCGAAGATTGTAGATATGCCTAACTGCTCTGTTTGGTTGCTAAGAAAATTTTGAGAATCTTTGGTACTTTCCACAAATTTCAACAACTGAGCCGTGATTTCAACTCTAGGCTTTGGACAAAGCCTTGTTTTTTTTTTTAACTGTAGGTTTGAGATATCTTTTTCTACTCAAAAGGACAAGCCTAACCTTGGAAAGAATACCATTATCCAAGAAGCCAAGCACGACTAATGTCCCACGCGTCTGTCTCATGAATCCCCCTTCTTTCCAAGTCTTCTTCTCTTTCAGTCTCTCTCTCTCCGATTCTCTGCAGATTCGTCCTCTCCTTTGTTCGATCGCTTACAATGGATTACGATTTCAGGAACAAATCCGATCCACCGTACGGATCCTTTGGTCATCCGATGTACGGCCCCGCAGCCTCGTCGCCTTCCTCGATGCATGGCCCCGCCGGATACCCGAAGATTGGCCAACAAGGTCACGCCGGTTCCTTGTTCCCTCCGCCGGCGCGAAACTCTCCGTATCACCATCCCCCTTCCTCCTCACCATCATCATCTTCCTCTTGTAAGCCTAAACCTCATCTCGATTTTCTCCCCGTTTTCTCGATCGGGATATGGTGATCGGTTTCTGTTTCTCGAGCGATCTGTGGGATTGATCTCGATTTAGGGTTTAGTTGAAGGCTTTTGATCGTTGTGTTTTCTGTTGAACTTTGAAGCGAATTGAACGACGTGTATCTGATGCGTAGCTCGATGTTTTTTGGCAGCTGGATTGGGGATTAAGGTTACCATAAAACCAGAGTATCGGATTACACCACCGGTGAGATTTACAGTTTGAATGCTGTAGCATTTTTTAGGGTTAGGTATGGAACAGTCATGTTCAATGGCTGCTCTGTCACAGATCAAATTCGAGAAAAGGTTTTAGTTTTCAAGATTGAATTGAATTCGTTAAGGCATTGTTGTGGACGGCGGCAGTGTTGAGGTGTTCTTGTCATTTTTCGCAGCCTCAAATGTTGCCTCGATTGGGAGATGCTCCTTGGAGCATTTTTCAGTATGATTTCGGCCTAGAGAGGAAAGTTCTGGCCGAGGCCGATAAAGAAAGCCAAGACTGGAGCAAATTTGGGACCGAAACTCTGCCCACGAAAGCCCCAGATTCTATATCTTCGTCGGTATGGCCCCTCACCTCATAATTTTCGAGATTTTCTCGGGACTGCATTCTCTTTTTCATGCACTAATATTCTATGCTAGTTGTTGCATTGCATATTCCCTGGTCTGTTTATAAAATGTTGAAGTTTCGTGTGAAGGTTAGTTCTAGGGGTGCAAACGGTTCAGTTGTTTAAAACTAGAACCGAACCCGACCGATTTATATCCGATCCGAACCGATTAGAATCAAATAACTGTTTGGTTATAAATTTTTGAAACCCGAAATAATCGAATCCGAATGAACCGTAGGCCGAATAAACCGTAGGCCAGACTTCAGTCTGCTTTGCAGATTTGTTCATACGAGGTAGAAGAAGTGATAGTTCAGGAAACAGGGAGACTGACCAAATAAAGAACAAGAAGTAAGAATCATTTGTAAATATCATAATATGGTATTACTGTTTATGATTATGAAATTCCAATTTTTTTTTTTTTTTTTGGGGTACAATGCAGCAGCGTCCAGACCCCGTGATGATGAGATACATAGCATCTGGGCTAAACAGAGAAGCTGTCAGCATAGCGGTCGCAAACTATGGAGATAATCCAACCAAGGTGCGTAATCTTCCATTAACGTTATGCAACTTTCATGAACCAAAATGTAAGAACCTCCAAATCAAATAAATATATAGCCAATTTGGTTCATAACCGAATAATTGAATCGAATTAAATCCAATATAAAAAACGAATTATTATAACTTCTCTAAAAGCAAAAAAAAATTGAATTCGAATCCGATAAAATAATTGAAAGAATGAAAATTTCTTTGAAAAATAAATACTTTTATTAATAAAAGGCTGAATAAAATATAAAAAATGGGTATTTTTATTAATTAAAATCGAACTTAAATTTGAAGCGAATTCAATATCAAAACTAAATAGTTATAGTTTTTTTAAACCCGAAATGATCAAACTTGAGTATATTAACGGACCCAAAACTCGAAATGACCATCGTACATGAAAAAGTGTTTGAGATTTTGAATCCAAATAATTTTGTGATTTTCGACAACTCGCAACAGGTGGAGGAATTCGTGAAGGGCTTCACGCTACTGAGGGAGATGGGGTTTCTGACAAGTTCAGTTGCGGAAGCTCTCTTCATGTTCGAAAACGACACTGACAAGGCACTTGCAAACTTGCTCCACGGTTCATCTTGAATCCTCTCTTTTCTTTCTTTTTTTTTTGGTGAAAGCCATATTTAATATTTAACTACTCGACGGAAGCCAACCGTCGCTATATCTATGTGTGTATATATATATATTTGTATTGTGGTTTGATAACTCTGATTTGGTGCGTTTGGTAAAAGGAAGGAGTATAGAGTTTACTTGTACAAAAGAATGATTGCCACAAATCATTAGGTGCGTCTTATGAATTTAGTTTTATAATCTTAAAGAATAAAAAATTATCCTCCATCAAACAAATTTCACATTTCACTTTCCAAAATTTTAAAATGAGTTCTTCTTACTAATAAAACTAAAATTCAAACTAAAATAGAATTAAATTTAATATAAAAATTTATAATTTTTTTTTTAAAAATGGTTATTGTTTTCTTTGAATCAAAATGGGAATAATAGCGCGTTAAGCTTCCAAATCAATCATAAGCCCAATTATAGGGCCATGGTTTCTACATACTCAGTACTGAATCATCCGATTGGGCTTCTGTTTGAGGCCCAGATAAGAACCTTCCATTTGAGAGCGAGAGATGGCGGGAAAATTCGAGGAGCATTTCGCGCCCCAAGAGCCCTAAATCACCAAGAGTTGTCGGATGCGATCTTCGTTGTTTACTCTGCATCGTCGGAGTCTTGGGTCAGATGCGATCTCTGGGTTAGAGAGTTCAATTTCGCTTTTTGTTTGTTCTAAAGCCCTAATTCTCAGAAGAACTGAAGAAGATGGAAATGGAGGGGTTATCGGTCATCTGCGCTGATCTCGGTTTCTTCGAGATTGATGGAAGTGGAAAAAGAATTGGGTACTTGAAGAGCGACTACTGTCTCGGTAACGGGTCTTATTCTTCTCTTTGCATCTTATAGAATTCGATAAATTTTATGAGTTAATTTGCCGTATCTATGGCAGATAATCTGAAGGATTTGCTGAGATTTTTGAGACGCGACGATCCGCAAACGAGGGAGGTTTTCAAGCAGGTCTGTGCGTGGAATACAGTTTCAGAGCATTTGATACCTATCATCGAGCAGTACCCAGACGATCGTAACTTAGTTCTAAACGCAGGTATACTTTTTTTTTTTTTTTTAATTTTCGCTATGGCTTTCCTGTTGTTGCTGTAAAGTTTCTGATGATTTTTGTATTCTTTTTGCTCAGTTAAGGTATTAGTGTTTCTTACGATGCCTATAGAGCCTTCATCAAGTGACATTCCTCGGCAGATAGAGTTTCTATGGGGCTTAAAGTCTGCAATTACTTACAGTAAAATTGTAGCAGTGATTGTGACTTTGCTTGAAAACCCCCTCGAGAACTTAGAATTGTAAGTTTAATAACGGAGTACCATCTTATATACAGTTGAAATTCTCTATCTTTGTCTCTGTGTTCTCTGTTTTTTTAATGCGAATGTCATCTCAAACTCATCCCATACATTCCAGGAATTCGCTCACGGAGGAAGATTGGAAATTGGTACAGCTCGTTCTCACCTTATTCCGGAATTTACTGGCTATCCACGATATTTCCTCGCTTCAAAAGGCCGGAGAATCTGCTTGTCACCTTTTGTCGCTGAGAGATCGGTTTCTTGAACTTCTGTTCAGTGAAAACGTGATGGATGTATTTATAGTGATTACTCAGACTATTGATGGTTCTAGCAGCTTACTAAGACATGATAACCTACTTCTGTTAGAAATTTTTCACTATATTTTTATTGGTCAAGACCCGGAGCTCATAACTGAGGCCCCTGAAAAGGTTGATATCCCAACTCTATCAGTATAATCCCCGTGTTGAACCAGTTTGATATTACGATCAAAATTGTTTTGGCAGGAAGGTGAAGCAAAAAAAACCTCTGCTGACAGTTTAAAGACCTTAATGGAAGAGGAACAGGTTAAAAGCAAGCTTAGGAGACTCCACAATATGAGTCGGCATTCACAATTTAGCGGGACATTCACCCGTGTTGCTGTGGTATTGTTTCTTGCTGTTGGTACTTTCAAGTCTGCCATATAAAGAAGTTCTTAATTTGGATGAGATTTTTTTTTCATAGGATGGTTCTAAAGCTGTATTAAAGGGAATTCCTTCAACTACGGACAGTACTGTCCTAAAGCCTACCCTAGGTCGTGGAGCAGCAGAAAAGATCGTTTGGGAACATGGGCGAATATCTTTGGCAAAGGACAGTATTTTGAAGTTGCTGCATGATTTCATCAATCAGTTTATGACAGGAGGATATAATGGTATGTCATAAAAAGAACCATGACTTTTGCTTATAACTTGGTCTAACTGTGCTAATGCTGATGCCAATACATACATTTGCTTAGTTCTGATGCAGTCGATACTCGACGATATTGAGAAGGAGCATCACTCAATACAAAGTAGCGACATTGTCGTGTTCTTCCAGGTTGCTCAGTTCATTACCTCTTTCCAGTGTTGCAAGTCTTTGGCTTCTAAAGTGAGTAACCTAACTAAACTCATTTTTCTCCATTTCATTTTTCTAGTACAATGCTACACAATTGTTCTTTCATTGTTTTTGCCATGATTGGAGATCGCGTTTATCATAATGCTGAATGTTTACGATATAACTATTTCCCGGGTGTCATTCTTTGACAGCCAGCTACAGGAAAGAAAGAAACTTCTGAACTTTCGGCAAATGAGAATGCTGAAGGAAACTTTTCCAAGAGTGACATTTGTGGACCAATTGCAGCAACAATCAATGAACAAATGTTTTCTCTTGTCATTTCAAAATGGCGCTATGCATTCGAGGGTCTCAAGGAAACAAATGATTTCAAGTTTCTATCTGCTGCAGGCTCTCTCGTCAGAACCATGGTGTGCATATTTTATTTTCATGCTGATTACTTCACTGACATTGTTATTCTGGGGCCTATTTATCTTTGATTAACATCCTCAAATTGATATTCACAGCTTGTGCTTATCACTTGTTTGTTTAAATGCAGCTTTGCATGTTAGATCTGGTGACTAAATTGCTTCCAGATGATTCCAGAGAGGCTTTCACTGTTCGCATTTTGCTTTACAAGTTGTTTTATGATCAAACGGATCAAGGGATGTGCCAGTTCATCTTGAATCTGGTAAAAACTTTTGACAAACACAAGCAACCTAAAAGGTTGGTCTCTACTTCTGCATCTTCCTTTTTTCAAAATCTTGAGGTCAAGCAAATTCTTGTAATAAACAACTAGTAAATTCTTGTGGTGTCATTTATATTTGGTGAGTTATTGGAACCCCCATCCATCATGGTTTGAAGCTGGCATTCTATTTTTTAGGAATATTGAGTATTTTCCTGAGAAGCTCTCTTTTATTTGTACCTCTTTTTTGCATTGTGGTGCATAAGAAATTTTACCTGACTTGCAAAATTAACTTGCTTTTGGGTACTTTCTTGCCAGTGATCTTGCGGATCTGGTTGAAAGCATCCATGTAATAGTAGGCCTCATGGAAAACCTTCAAGGGGGTGGCACACTGAGGGTATGTATTTGCTTAGTTTATAAAACTCTGTTTTGATGGTTCCAGATCATCCTCATCCATTTACACAGTATAAAATACTGTGTTGAGAGTTGTCTATGTAGTGGTGTCCAACCAAATGTCTGTTTCATGCCTCAAGGTTTCCAAAAAATCGAGGAAAGCAAGAAAGAAAAGGACAATGGGCGATAAGAAAGATACCGTGCATGAAGAAAATCATCCAGGTAGTTCAAATGAGGCTAGCATGGAAAATGGTGACCAGATGGCTGTTTTGGCCGTTTCAACGAAAGATGGACCAATAAATGTGTCCACCTTAGAGATTGAAAACAGTGATAAACCATCATCAAATCACGTGGTTGATGATCTTACTTGTGGTACCGATGATTCTTCTGATGACGAAGAGCCAACTGCAAAAGATGAAGTTGATTTTAAGGTTTCCACATTTATTTCTGCATTCGCAAGCAGCAGCATCATTCAAAACCTATGCTGGTTGCTTAAGTTCTACAAGAACAACTCCAAACAGACAAACCATCACATCGTAAGCATGTTGCGGAGGATAACAGAAGATCTGGAGCTCTCCCCTATGTTGTATCAGGTCAATACCCTAAATTTCCATAAACATCCAAATGCTTCACATTGATATGCTGTTCATCTCTAATCTGTTTTATCGTGATTAAATTTGCAGCTTTCACTGCTAATAATATTCTATAAGATCCTGGACGAGCAGAGAGCTTGTCCCTGCAAAGACTACGAAGATATTGTTACCTTCTTGACAGATTTGGTAAGGAAAATGTTGAAAAAAATGAAGACGCAGCCTCTTCTCTTTGTGGAAATCCTCTTCTGGAAGACTCGCAAAGAATGCCATTACATCAATGCCGAATATTTATTGCATGAACTTGGTCATATGAGAAAACAAAAAGGAAATCAAGAAAATGTCTCAGGAAATGCTGAAAACAGTTCGCCGCAAGGCTGGGCTCATCGAAGCATAGCAGATGCGTTAGGTGATGATGAAGCTGATGTTGCTATTTATCATGATCTGGGATTCCAAAAGTAAGTCCAACCCAGGAGATAGTTTTCTCTGATCATTTCATGAAAAGGTAGTTTAGAAATTGAATTGACGAGGGATAAAATCTAGCGCACGACATTCAGTGTGCAAACTCATCTCTGTGGATCATCATTGCTGAAGATAGCCTTTTCCTGTATATTAATGCTTGGTGTTTTCATATGCTGCAGTGAGGAGGATGTGGAGAATGAATCTGCAGGACCATCTCAAAGAAAGAGAAGACTTGTCCTTGATGATGAAACGGAGACAAAAATTAAAGAGTTATATGACAAGTATGATTTGTTTGTTTCTGAAGACTTGTCCTTGATCATAAAGCATTCTTTACAGTATACCCTAATTCTTATTTAGAAACCTGAGCATGTTCAATGATATTAAGCTGCATGATTTGTATTCATAGTCTAATTTTAGTTGGTTTTAACGTTTTTTGTCTGTCCACTTCAATAAATTTGTTTCAGGTTCAAAGATGCTAAGAATTGCAGCCAGCTTATTGCCCAATCCCTGGATCCTGATGGTAGAGTCTCTGCTGCCCAAATAACAAACAAGCTTAAGCAGTTAGGACTGTTAGCAAGGAAAAGGATACGACATAGTAAAAGCTCTCTCGAAGAAACTCAAGCAAAAAATGGAAACGACGATTCAAACCAGGTGGAGGCAACATCATTTGATCAACCTTCGTAAGTACCCATCAGAGGTTTACTGAACTACACTTTTCAAGATTGTTTTTTTGGGTCAGCGGTAACAACTATTTTGCTGCCTTCTAACAGGAACACCAGAAAAAGGGTGAGTTCTTTTAGCAAAGAACAAGAGACCCTGATCAAGGAACTGTACGAAAAGTGAGTGTTACAATAGCCGTTTCTTCTGTATGGACTCCTTATATGCATCGGTTTGATCAAACTCCATGCTTTTACTGATTGACTATGTGCAGGTTCAAGGACCAAAGACGATGCTGCTATCTTATTGCCAATGCTTTGGGTTCTGAAAATACATCTACCACTGCCCAAATTTCACGTAAACTGAAGCAACTCGGCCTACGTCTTCCTCGCCAGAAGAAGGCTAAAGGTGACATGGTGCTGAGGGATGAAGACCACGATGACAATTCTTCGGAGAGGACAGATGGATCTGACAATGAAACATTACAAGCACTCAGGAACAGGTAACTTAAAAAATCCTTTTTCTTTGTGCAAATAATTCTGTAATTTCGGTTCCTCGGCTATCACAAAAGATAAATGAAAAGCTCACAAGATTGATCAGTTTACTTGATCAAAGGGAATGAATGCTTGAGTTGTCTTCTGTAGGATGAACAGAAGAAGTCAGAAGAGTGGGAAGCTTGCAGGATCGGATGAGATTTCACGGGAAGATGGCACGGAAATGTAAGATGTTCCATCCGTTTCGTCTTTGCGAGTTTTGGACAAAGATAAACAAAACACGACAGTACCACTTAGCACTCACTTAGAATCAGTATTCATATCTAAGTCTGATATGCGTTCGGTCCTTCTCTTTAACCAGGGAACGTGCCAGAGACACCGAAGAAGAAATCAACCACGATCCATGGGAAAACAAAGGAAATCAAAAGGATGCTCCCAGTTCTTCATCTCCAGAAGATCTAAATCATCGGGTGGATGGTGATGGTGATGGTGGTGGTGGTGATGATGATGATGATGAGTTTGCAGATTATGATGGTGACATAGCGCCTAATGTGTCCCTAACGCAAAGTCCGCTCAGCAGAAGAAAACTGAAAATGGTTGTGGACGACGACGATGATGACTGACTGAGATAGATAAAAACAGGCACCTGAATCTATGGGTTTCCAGAACAGTTCCTCTGTTAACCAGTTGGAGTTCCAAACCTTTGGTTTGGTTACTCCAACAACCTCGGAAGATGTTTCTGATTGGTTGGTTGAGAAATACTACAAAACACTAGGATTTATATATATATATATATATATATATATATATATAAATTATAGTGTGTCTAAGAGCTTCAGAGTTACAGTTTCAGCATCTTATCTCAAAGGACCAACAAACATTCCCTTTGAGAATATCCTTCATCAACGCACTTGGAAATATTTAGCATTAAATACACTTTCAAGTAGAGTACACACCAAATATCAAGGAAAAAAAAAAGATAATATGGCAGATTATAATTATTATAAGATATGGTCCTGAGTAGGCTCGTAGTCACTTTCTATTTTTCTGCTTTTGTCCCCATAACTTTCGACATCTTTCGTCTTTCACCCCGACATTTCCCGGGACCAATGTCTCCCCCCCTCCCCTCTTTTGTCCTCTGTTGCGTTGTCTCTCCCTTACGTTTTCTCTTTTCTACTTCCTCTTCTTCTCTTTCCTTTTGAGTTTTTGACGAAACAAACAACTGCTTCTTGCCTCGCAGCAATTAATATATTTTGTTGTTTTTCACCCAAGATTCCATATTTTCATCACCACTCAGATTACTCGTGGTCGTGAGCTTCTCGATATTCCGTTTCCCATATACGATTTTTTTTATATATAAAAAAGGTCAATACGATATTTCTGTGTTCATACAGACTTTCAGAAGCAAACCAAGAACGCGACACGTTTGTAACAGCTACAAATGTGTACGTATACACGATGAACCGAGACATATTGCTTCCGTCCAATTTAATTTTATCATCATGTGGATAATTTTACCTTATCCAACACAATGCCCACATCATCATTTCAATTCTCGGTTCAATATATGATATACCCTTTGCTATTTCAAGAAGAATTGTTTCTTTTACGACGTGATTATCCTATAAACACAATCTTTTTGGATATATATACACAAATGTCCACTAATATATATATATATATATATATATATATATATTGAAGTTTAAGGAACCAAGAGAAAAACGAGAGCGTTTTAGAGCAATTTTCCTTGAATTCCAAGGAACCGAAATGAAAAATCTGTCTAATTACACAGTTCAAATACACCACCAGCAAATAGAGAAAAAAATAAACCAAGTAGATAACCAGATATAACCAACACTAACCGATGGACATTACCTCACTCGTTATTATCAATTAGTAGATTGTTAATAGAGATCGTTGGTTCGAAGCCTTGTTAAAGATTCACGTACAAATCGTCCCATGCATGAAATAAGATGCTTCAACGAATATGTTTTGTTCATAATTAGTTTCTTGATATATCCTTATCGAACCGTTATTTTTTTATTTTTTCCTTTCATTGGAAAACTCAAGAGTCAAGACTAAATTTCGGAGTGTAAAAACATAAAAATAAATAAATAAATATAAATAAAAAGGGGGAAGTGAATGCAACAATACATAATGAGAGTCTAGTAGGGGCTCACAAACTCTTGTGTTTCTTTTCTCCTTTTCCCTTTCCAATTATTAAAATCTATTGTCTCTTACCAAACAAACCACATAAATATTACTGTTTATTTACAATAATATATATATGATCTGCATGTGTGTATGTGTGTATATATACACTGAAACATATGTTCCCAGTTCGAACATTGTTTGTCTCGGACAGATATCTCTGAATAACCCAAAACCCATAAAAAAAAAGGGAAGAAAAAGCAATATCCATCCTCTAAAAATAAAAGAAAAAAAAATCAAGAATCCGCCATGGAAGATCAAAAACAACCAGCTTGCAAGCCTCTTCCTATAGAAAGCTTTTCATGCAGTTGGTTAGTTAACTTCCCATCGTTGGAAAACATCGGCAACTCAACAAGGACATCTGTAGATACGTACGATGATTCTTGTTCTTACATCGAGATGGATCCGAGGTTGCCTCCTTCTAGAAGATTCTTCGTCAGCCCTAAAGATCGGAGCTTCAAGTTCGACAACTTCTCCAACTCCGAGTCCTTAGCCCACGCCGACGAGCTCTTCTGCGACGGCTACGTCATGCCTCTATCCACTAACTCCGCCGAGGAATCTCAGCCGTTGGATTCACCGTCAGAGAGGCCCGAGACGATGATGAGAACCGTCAGATTGACGAAGAGCAAGTCGTCTTCGTGTTCAAGGAGGTTTCGGAGTGTGTCGAAGTGTGTTCTGTTGAAGTATATTGATTTCTTGACGCCATTGTGTCGAAGAATTCGGAATTGCAAAGCTTCTAGACCAAACGGAAGCAATGGAACGAAGGACGGTTACGATTCGAGGATTCGTGTCACGAGAAACCGAGTTTATTCCGATGAGACGACGACGGCATCTCCGAGGATGAGCGTCGCTGAAGACTGGAGAAGATCTTGTGACTCCGAGAGCTCGATCTACGAGGCTGTTCTTCATTGCAAGAAATCATTTGGTAAGAAAATCATCTTCACATAGTTCAATCTTTTGATTTGTGGATGTATACGCATACCCTTTTGTGATATTGTCATGTTGGAATCAATTTAGGGTTTGGTTTTATCATCTAACCTTTTTCCTCTTTCTGGGTTTTGTTATTTTAGCAGGAAAATGAGAGGAATCCATGGCCGAAATGAGAGCATGCAGGAGCAGAAGTAGAGAAGAAGATAAGCTTGAGAGAAGCAAATATACACAAACTACACATGGGAAGCAATCAAGACGGAGAGAGAGAGAGAGAGAGAGAACAACTTGTAATCTGTCTTCTTGTTCTTTCTTTCTTTCTTTCATTTCTCTAATCTCATGAGATTGATGTGATAATGTGGATTGTGTCATGTGACGTGGATCAAGAATGTTTGTGCTTTTACATGATTGGGCAAATAGGGTTTTTTTTTTAATCATTATTGGCTCAGCAGAATCAGAAATTATATATTTTCATACTCTTTTTTTTTTTTTTGGTAATTTATTTTTCAAATGTAATAAGGATGACCCCATTACATTTTACCTATTTTGTCTAACATGTTTGCTTTGTCCAATGGAACCCCATAACTCCTATGTGCAATTTTTATTTTATTTTTTGTTAGGACGTGAGGTGGGTTCAATATTTCCACTTACTCGAGAGATATTATATAAGTAGATTTCGAAATCCAAATATTATTATTTTTTCTTGTATAATTGTGTTTGTCATTTTATTGCATTTAACTTCCTTTTATCATTAGTTGTAACACTTGCGTCATCCATGATTATTTATGCATCATATTATAGAATATAATTATTCCTTTTTGTTCATAAATTCGAATTACCTTATACTTAATCCACTTACTAAGTGACAGAGTTAGCCAAATTATATATTGGAAAAAAAAATGTAACATAATATTTGAGTGACAAACGCACGATTGATTTTTATTTATTCAGATAAATTTTTTTAACAATATGTTTTTTTTTTCAATTTTATTTATTTATTTTTACAACGACATAGTATTGTATATGGGACCACACTATATATGTAAACACCATAATCCGTAATACTACTTATAGGATTCAAACCAATGATCTCTCAAAATTTGTGTCGATGAAATCTATTAAGCGTTTCTTTTGGGGCACTTTTTTTTTTTGTTAAAGGGCACTTTTAAGTTTTAAGTAAGACTTTTTTCCATCGAAAAATTAGATTATATTCCTATAATTGATATTTTTTTCTCTATCTGTATTTTTTTTTTCTTCAACCATTCATCACGAAAGCATTCAAATTAGATAACAAGGAAGAAAAAAAGTCTATAAAAGAACGTGAAATGTATGATAATATATTGGATTTTAACAATTATCTAATTAATACAAGTTCTCCCCAATAAAATAAATTAAGTTATTATGTCTTTGAAAAATATACATTACTAAATTTGAATAGTTCAACCGGAGAAATGGATTGCAAAGTCGCGAATTGGTTAATAAGTTAATGAATTAGTAATTCCGATACACCATCTAGATTGCATATATAAGGCTTATTTGTAGTAATTAATATATAATATTAATTTCTTTCACCTCAATATAAAAATAAAAATAGAAAGAAAATATCAGCTGTCTAAAATAAAAATGTAACATAACATTTGAATTAATAAGTCGTTATCGTTTTCTTTTTTGTTTGGACCAATAATTAAAGCTTTATATGTAAGTCTATGCTTTGAGAGGGGACAAGTCTATATGGTTTTCCCTTACAGAAAACTTAAATTTAAAGTGCCTAAAATTAAAAAATTATAACAGACCAAAGGACCCATTTAAAGTAATTTACTTTTATAACAATTGCCTATATCTTTGTAGTACAAGATCTGCAGGGCTATGCAATAGGGTACACATATAGATATGTATATTATATGTTCGAAATTGAAATGTCAAGTACATATATTCAAAATTGAAATTATTATGGCAAATGGCTGTCCCTCCAAAAAGACAGACAAAAAGATTTGCTTAGGCATAATTTCTTCTTCTTCTTCTTCATTTCATCAATTTATCATTCCAAGAAGGTTGTTTATTGATTAATGAAAGCTATGTAATAAAAAAAATATTCTTTTATAATAAATTTTAAATTTGAAATAATATTTTTTTTTAAAATCTGAAAGTCATTTGACTCAACTGCATCTTTCATCATGGAAGTCCATATTTTGTATTTTTGTTTATCAATAAATAGAACCATTCTAGATAAATTTCGATTTCAATGGTTTAATTAAAATAAAAATAAATATCATGTGAATATGATTTATATTTTTTATATACAAGAAGGAAAAGTGAGATTCTAGAACTATTCTACATATTTTCGAGAACAAAACAAAGATAAGGAAAAAAAATAGAGAATTATTTAACATGTAAATAGAGGCATTAGAAAAAGGCAAGAAAAAAAAAAAAAAAGAGGCAAGTGATATTCACATGTCATTGAGACAAAACAAGGAGACATTGACAAGTAATATGTTCTCATAAAATCCAAAGTCTTTTCATAAAACACTTGTTTCTATGTATCTTCCTCTATTCATCATTTGTTCAACTTTTATTCTTTTATGTATTATCTCCTTCGACCATCTTATTGTAACCCTTAAAACATGTATTGGTTCCGATATATACAACATTTTCATTTTTAAAGAATGAGAATTTTTTTTTGCGGTATATGGGTTCTTACATTAATTTTGTTCGACTTTTTTGAAAGATGATAACCCTAAATAAATGTCGCAATCAAACAATATCGCCAAATGATTCTGTTTTTACCCAGAGTTCGGATGAAAAAGCATTTTGTGTTTTTACCTTACCGTTTTACCATCCACATTTGGATTATGGTCAAATGATTCCTTTGTTTTTAAAGATGCTGCTTTCGACAAATATTTTCAAATTTGTACCACAAAAAAAAAAGATATATAGTAAAAGTACATATTCACAAACCCCAAATCACCAAAATCAGGGGTAAAAGAAGGAACATTACAACCAAGTCTATGAACGATATGTATCTCTAAAATCCTTACAAAATGTAGCATCTATAACACCATAGGCATATGGTGTTCGCATGATTATGGTTTCCCTTTTTCTTATTTTATTTATTTATTTTATTTTGGTTATTGCAGAACATAACAATTAATTACATGTCTCTTCTTTTATGTTGTTACATATAGGATTAAAAGCAATGGAGGAACCAAAATGGAAATGATTATGCCTAAAAAACCCGACAGCAAAACACTAACCTTTACTTCGAACTAGATTGGTGATGATGATTAATATATAACAGTGTTTTACTTTAATTTATTAATTAAGTGACTAATTAATCAATCCTCGGTTTCAACAATATAAACGCAGGTCCAAAACATCAATTAAGGAAATTATATAAATTAGGGTTTGCTTTCTCGTAAAGTCATCAATGGCTTCTCGTACTATCATAAGATTGATTACGAAGGAATTAATTAAGCATAGGGAACCAATTTCTTAGTTTATGCCTTTTGTCGCCAAAACATTTTACGTCAATTTCGCTCCGGAGTCATCGTATTTTACGGTTTAGGAGGTATAATAATTCTCATAAGTTTTTGAAATTAATTAAGAGAATGACATAATCGAACCCTTTTGAATGTATTATTTTCCTTCATATTGTCTCCCTATTTTCCTCCAATCCAAACATCGTCTACGCTAATTTGTCAAGAAATCATACATACGGATTTAAGAGTTTATGACAACAGGACAGGATACTAAGTTTTTATGATCAAAATATAACAACTGATGCAACATGTTGGATAATATTATTTAAACACATATTTGGTAGTTCAACCAGTGAAACGGACATAAAGCATGTATCCCGCTCTAAGTTTGAACCTCAAGTTTATAAAAAAAAACGTATAATCCAAATCACATGGTTGATTTTCGGTCTCAGGATTAATTTGAGTCTTGGTACATAATATTTGGTTACCCAAAAAAATAATTATTTAATTTTATTAAATATTTTGATACATCCTTTAAATTTAAAGATATAAGAAATAACTATTTGAGGTTGAAATTGTGAAATAAATAACTAGTTTTGAAGATATAACAAAGTAAACGGTTTGATTGTTGGTTGAATGATATTGATTTTTTTTTTTAGATCCAAAAGTCCGATGTACGCCTGTATCTCTAATATGGTGAGGTAGTTTTGAAAAAAAAAATATTATATCTTTTTATTTGTGTTTCTTATCTAATTATGCATATGCAATATATTAGCTATCTAAAATTTTAGATATAATTTTGTAAAAACTTCTCAACATGAATTTGTTATGATGGTTCCATACAGATGGTAAAACATTAAAAATTATTTCACAAATTAAAATTTTAAAACGGATATTATATCATATAATTTTCAACATATTTTTATCATTTGCACCTATGCTTTAAATTTTAAATAAAATTATATTGGTGTAAAAATGTTTAATAGTTTGCCATTTATATTTTGCATGTAAACAATCAAATATGATATATTTACTGCGAAAATTTAATTTTGTATAGATTTTGAGAAAACTTTCTTAATATAAATAAGAAAACCTTAAGTTGTCACATTACGTTTCCATGAATAACAATTTTTTTGGTCGGAAAAATGAAGCCCAATTATGTCTTTACATGCATGTATTCAATGTAATATTGTAGGAAATTATAATTAGTCTGATTATTACATAAATTAATTGTATTTTCTATTTGTGTGAGATTTTATAACATCTTGAAGGGAATATTGGAATATTGATATTAACTAAAATAAATGAATATTGGGGATAAGGAATAAATACGCTTAAAGAATATGATGTGCAATTTGATTATGAGATGTAAAGGAATCAATGACTTTTTTGTGTGTTATTTTTTTGTAGTTTGCGAAATTATTAATTTAACCATTATTCAGTTATTAATAATAAAATTGTTTATGAATTTTCACCGCAGTGTGATCAATTTCAAAAAACAAATACAATTTGTATCGAGGCCCCTCATTTTGCAGCTAATTTACCCTCGAACCGTATTCTTCTATTTTTCTCACAGGAGGGGCTTCTACATCTGCTTTATTATCGTTAGAGTCCAAAACTTTCAAATAATTACCAATTTTCCTCAAACTTGTGTCATTGAACTGTTTGAACCATCTCCTCTGCTTCGGCTGCTCCACACTGATGGCGATGGCGATATCGTTAGGGAAGAGGTCGCGTAGAACAAAAGCATGCATCATAGTCATCACGAAGACACCTATCACCGTCAGAGTTGCTGCTCCCGACAACAAAACCGACAGAATCTGTGTCGGAACTCCGGCCACTTCGCCGGAGTACTTGATCGCCGCCGTCGCTGCCGCCGTCATCGGAAACGTGTAAGCCCACCATGCCAACGTGAATCTGGAAGCAAAAAAATGAAACGAAGTTAGGGTTTCGATCCGATTCGTGAAATAATCCGATAACCCAAATAGAAAAGTTTGCAACTTGGGTTAGAAAGATTGGTCTACGGATCAAGATTCTTACTTGAATCCACGGAAGAAATTAACCCGGACAACCTGAAACATGCAAGACGATGGATGAACAAAACGAAAAAAGTTAGATTTCTTGTCACACAAGCAATACGACTCCATGTCAATATGGCTCAAATCTTTGATAATTCAGCAAAAAAAAGGAAAAACAAAACGGCTAGAAAATCGGATGATTACCAGAGAGAAGTACAAAAACAAGGAGATGAAGTAAGCGAAGCGAGATCCAAGATCGAAAGAGCCAGAGATCTTAGTCCAGGCCATGGAGGCGACAGCTGGTGCGGCGACGAAGAGGAAGAACACAGGATGAAGCTCTTTAGGAAGGGTTTCATTTGTGGGAAGCCTTTGGTAGAGAGTGACGAACAAGACTAAGTAATGAGACATTCCAATGGCGAAGAAGAAGATGGGTCCTTCTTTCAGCCCCATTGACGCACCCAACAAAGCTCCGACAAAGTTTCCGACAATGGATAAGTGATTTGTAGGGTTTGCGACTTTGGACAGTCTCCTTTGCCCACCGGACATCCACTGTCCGTAGATCTTCAGCTCTAAACACAAGATCGGAGCCATGAGAATGTACCAGAGAATCTTGGGAAGATCTGAGACAATGGAATGTGGGATTCCGAGAGCTAAGAAGAGGGTTGAGATGAGAGGAGCGAAGAAGAAGTTGACACGAATCGGGTGTTGGAATTCACGACGAACAGCCTCGAAGTAGAGGAAAGCCTTGAGGATGTAAGCCGATGAGAAAGCGAGGAGGAGGAAGAGAGAGATCCACCAGAGAGCGTGATTGGTCATCTGGGTCACGTTCAGAAACTTCTCGGCCTCGGTCGTGGCTAAAGTCTTCCACATTATGGCTTGGCTGCTTATTCCGAGACACATTCCGAACGACGTTATCGGAAACCTCAGAAGAAACGGCCATTTCTTGTCGTCCGGCAACAGGATTTCCTCCGAATCCTGCGAAGAAAATCGGGAATAATGAACAGAGAATGATGAACTGGTTTCGAGACGAGATTTCGAATGGTGGGTAAGTGAAGAAATACCCTGAGAGTCTCGAGTTCCGGCCCTTGAA